ATGTCTGAACCAGACATTTACTTTACATTATGTGACATTAATTTATACATTTATAAATGGCCGCTCATAATAAAGAACTGTGGATGTAAACAAATATGACGTCAGTCATTTCTTTAGTACTCAATTAAAAAAAAAACTTAATTACTGCAACTGTGGAACGTAAACGAGATCAAACTTATGGAGGAAAGTAACTAGGTACAGTATATTTACTCGATTGATGTACTTCAACTGTACAATATTGTCTTTTATCTGAGTTCTCATACCTATGCTCTATCCCTCTATAATAAAAGGAAATATTGTGAATTACTCTTCAGACTAAGATATTACATAAAAAAATATAATTAAACTTTGTATTGTGAAAATTAAATCAGTGGTTCCCAGCATGTTTGGCTTGTAGACCGTAAGATGGACGATGTCTCCACTTCTTCCTGAGCCAGAGTAAAATATGTAATTATATCCATCCATCCATTATTTTACTGCTTATTCTCATCACAGCTGACATTAGGTGAGAGGCGGGGTAAACTCTGGACTCTCTGATCACCAGTGTATCACAGAACCAACATATAGAGACAAACAACTGTAATTTTATTTAGAATATATAATACAAAGCTGATTTGAAGCTTTTATTAAGACAGCAGATGCTGAACCTTTTTTCTTCTTTTCCATTTCATTAATCAGTTTCAATTCAATAAACTTAATGGGATTGCATTTACATTTGTTGCCAAAGCACAAATCATTTCACAACATCTCTTCATCAGGTCTGTCAGAGCAAGTACTTTTACTTTCAATACATTTTGCTCATAATACCCTTATACTTTTACTTCTCAAATGAGGTACTTTTACTTTGGGAGTATCAAATCCTGCAAGGGATCTGGATTCCTCACGTTGTTAGTAAATCTACGTTCAGGGTCTGAGTTCTTTGCCACTTTCAAAAATGTTGTTATCTGTTCAGTCTATTAAATTGGGGCTTCATTGCCCTCAGTGTCAATAAACTGAATTGAGAAGTAAATGTTTGTGAACAACTCTCCGTGTTCCTCTCAGGTAAAAAACACTCAAGCTCTGATGTTTGGTGTAAAGCTACATTTTCTGCCCAGGGGGCCACACAGCTTTAACAAGCCACATGCTGACACCTTCCATTTTCACAGGAGTAAACCTCTCATCTCTACCCTCATCTCTCACGACGTCCTGCATCTGTCTTCAGGTTTATTTCTCACCTGGATTAATGGAGCAGGCTGCAGCTGCACAGGGAGCTAATATACTGTTGTTACACTGTAGGACTGATGCAGGGAAGCTCATTTAAATGCTAATTCCTCTTCCTCTGCATTACTGCACGTTTATTTTGCTTGGTTGTGTTCTCTTTTATCCTGCATTTGTCGGTGGCAGGCTTCATATATCTTTATGTTGTGTTACCTGGAATAAACAGTATTTCATGATGAGGATTTTAAAGCAGCAGAATGTGCCTCAAAATAATTTATTTTATCAGGAGAAGATTTTTTTATTTTGGCCAAAATATTCTTAATCTGTGATAAAGTCACCACAACAAGAACTGGACCTTATTGTAATAATGTCAAAATATATTTGATGTCAAATGAATTGTGTTCATCATGAAAAACACTTCAGCTGAAATCTGTAAAACCAAAAGATATCATCTGCATCTTTCTCTTCACATTTTCACTCACATCCTTGTTCTGTCTTTAACCCCAAAACACTAATCAATCACTATTCACAGATACAATAAGTTGTACTACTACTAATAATAATAATAACATGTGAGAAAACTCACCTCTCACCTCAACCCAACAGAATAAAATTTAAAAAAATAAAAGTAAAGTCCGATACCTAAGTGACCAGTGCAATAACAAATCAATATCGCCCTTATGTAGTTAACTCCTTGCAGAAGTACACTATCAAAGTATTTATCATTACCAACCAAGAGCACGTAAAGCCGCCAAGAGTCCCCTTTACCCATGCTGCCCCAATTTCCACCCACTCACAGATATTAGTTCCTGATATTGTTCAGGCAAAATGATCCATGGGAAATTGGTGAATCTCACAATGTTAAAAAAGTGAATTAAAAAATTCTATAATATATATCTGCCCCTTGATCCTTTCAGTGTTTTATAGAATATTTGAAGTAACCTTGTTAACAAACAAACAAGCGTGATAGGGATGAAAACATCATAACCTCATTGCAGAGGTAGATAAATGTCCTATTATTACATAACCAGTCCAATAACAAATAAGTATAAGTAAAGGCCTATGTGTATTTAGACTCCTCTGCAGCATTACAGCAGAATCAAAGTATTAGTATTAGAGATCATCACAGACCTACTGCAAATGCTGTAGTTTTAAACAGTGAAACTCTGAAAGCCACTAAAAAACCAGACTAGTGTTCTTGGTACTGATCCATCACATCAATTAAAAATACAATGATCAAATACCTTGAAAAGGTCAATACAAATATTCTTTTATTTTTTCCTTTTTTAACAAATGTGACTTTGACACAACTGCTATGATTTGACATTTTCTGTTGTATAAAAGAAGACAGGGACGTGTCAGCTGAACGCACGCACGCTCGCGTGCACACACGCACACACACTGTTCAGCTCCTAGATATGTAAAACTGAGGCACGTGTAGTCGATAAGTATTTACAACACATCCCTAAAACAAAACCACACAACAATTGTGTAAATATAAATTTACAACACAACATGCCTCCCACACACAGAAGATCTAAAAGTACAGAGCCAATATTCAGAGAAATTAGTAACAGTTCATGTTCCAGCAGTGGCAGAGAGGGGGCAGCAGTGTCTACACACAGACTACTGAGCAGAAATACTGACACTAATTACTAATTTATAAAATCTTAACACATGTTTAAACACTTGCCAGCATGAGTTAAGAGTCCATTAATTTTAGATAGGGATATATTTATTTCAGGGAGAAAGTCCAATGTTTCAAAACGCCTCTTGAGATCTGTGTTTAATAACTATTCGTATTTTTAATACATTGTCAGAACCTCAGGGATGAGTGCGTTTCACTTGACTGTTATAGTACAGAGAGGAAATGACACGACACTCCTCCTAGATCCACATCAGGGGAAAATGTTCACAAATGAAACATCACAAGCGCAGATATAAAAATCTAAATGACTTGAAACTCATCTCTGTCCCTCTGATCAGTGTACACTGCACACACTTAACTGTACAAAACATAATGACAAGTCACATGTGTTTCTTCATCTTTTGGCAAGACCGCCGCGTTTTCAGCTCAACTGCGTTTGGCTTTTTTTTTTCTTTGTCCAGCATTAACAAAACGTGTCTCCAGCTATTTACAGTCCAGTTTATCTCCACAAACAGTGCAGACAGACAAGGTAAAAAAAAATCTTTGACAAGGTAATAAAAAGAAATCCTTCAAACCGAGCATGATTTTCATATAAAATTGAAGATATGGTATATTCACATATAAATACTGTACATAAGTCTGTGATACAGGACGGATAAATAGTCATCGCTAAGACAGAAAAAGGGCAGTTTTGGTGAAAAGGGTTCAGTTTACAGATCAAATATCCTGGTCACTACGTAACGCTAGAAAGAAAAAGGGGAGACAGGCTAAGAAGACAGACCCCAGGTGTAGAATATACCCAACACACACACACTCACTCACACATGCTCGACACACAGACTTTTGCATCCTAAATCACACACCCCTCCTAAAACTCTCCCACGCAGGCACACACTGGCACATGGGAGTAAAGTGGAGGGTCATCTGAAGTGCATAGAGGAATACCTGAACTGTGTTCTGCAAAAGTCACGATAGAGAAATCCAATCATACTCCCTCCTGTTGTCTGTCTTTTATTGTCTTCTAAGTCTCCCGGGACATCAACAAGGACACTCAGATTTTCTATAAGAGGAAATAACACGAACAAAGTACAAAAAAACTAGTACAAAATGCTTTTTTTTTGAAAAATTCAGTCAGATCGTGGTACCAGGTCCAGCACTCAGCGGCTCTGTTAAACTGAGGTTTCTGATTGGAGCAGCAGTATAAACTTGTGGGACTTGGGGTCGATGTACTCCTCAGTGATTCGGATGTAAGGGATGCTCTTGATGGTGATGGCCAAGCTGAAGTCGAGACACCTCAGGAGGAATTCTGTCCCCTCCTTGATGCCACTGGTGACGGACGCCTCGCTGATCAAAGTCCACTGATCTGCCATCCAGCGCTCAGGGCCGTACTGCAGAGTGGGACCAGGGGCCAGGTAGGCCTCCAGGAAGGCCTGACACACACAGAGACAGACAGTGAGACGACATTCAACAAGTATTTTTGATACGTCAAATGCACAAGATGGCAGCATTCGTATCCCATATATTCTGGCTCCATTTCTGTACAACAGGGAGACGTGGAGATGAGTTGTCCATCTTCATATACAGTCGATGTATCAGCTCTTCAAAAACACTAATTAGACCAAGACGAGAAACTTTAAAATCCAAGCTGACCTTAGGGCTCATGTTGTTCACAAGGCAGAAAGCAAGGTGCTTCTGGATGCTCTCCATGCTGTGGCAGTGCTGCCTCCTGGTGGTGCGGAGGTACTTCTGCAGGGCACGGGCCATGGAGGGAAATATGGCCAGAGCCGCCTCTCGTACGTCCATGATGTCCGAGGGGGCTGCTCGCTCATCCTCTTTCTTCATGCGCCGCACATGAGTGAAGGCCTCTTCCACGGCCACCACCAGCCTGACAAAGCAGCTTAGTGTCAGCTCTCAAGGTTACTGTTCTTAATCCATACTGTTCAATAAGCAACGCATGTGCACCACATGATATGGGACTCAGAATAATACTGGCTTTGCCCATCATCTGTCAAAGTAATGGCTTCTGCATCCGTCTATAAATATTCCTTAGAGCTTTATATTCAGCCATGATGTGACAGTTGCCCCTGCTGCTCTCATCTAAAGCCCTGAATAAATTCTCATCATGTGTATATTACATAGTGAACTCTGCAGCCTATATTGTAAAATCCCATAGTGCAAAAACATGGAATGTTAAATACAAATATTCTTGCTGAATATTTGTATTTAAATAAATATGAGCACAAATGAAAATTTTAAATATAGACAGAAAAATCAATTTACGACATGACCTTTAATGAGCAAGTGTCATATGAAAAACGAGAGCAGGGAAGACATGCAGCAGAGGCCTGGGTTTGGAATCGAACCTGCGGCTGCTGCAGTTAGATTAAAGCCTCCAAACTGCAATATATAAGGCATATAAGGCAAATAACAACGGGGCAGTGTGGATGTTGCCATAAGTCTCTCTATCATGCTGAGTTACAGATTTGCTGTACAAATTGCGATCACACTTACAGTTTGTCCTGAGCTGCATGTCTGCAAGAGTCTACATCACCATGAGACATGATGTAATTTCTCGTGACTCACCTGGCTTTACGTTTGCGGACTCTTCTCTCATAGTCAGCCTCCTCGTAGTACAGCTCATTGTGGGCGCTGTCTTTGCGTTTGGCGGCAGCTGTTACCATGGCCCGTGACTGATTCCCATTAGCAGCCTGAGCCCCTGCTGCGTTTCCTGGGGCTGCACCAAAATGAGAGGATGGAGGCAAATTGGTTAAATTCGTCCAGGGTTGGGAGGAAGTGGTCCCTGACCCAACCAGACTGTGATGAATGGGTTGGTTTGAATCGGAGACTAGAAATGGTCGCATTGGAGGAGAACTGAGGTCTTACTCCAAAGACTTTTGAGGACGATTTGAAGGGTCTGTGCGTTAATCTTCAAAACTTATCTTGGCCAACCTGCCAGATCATGCGTCTCAGCCTCAGTGAACGTTAATTATAGTGCAGAGGAAAAGAAGCAATTTCCACTGGAAGGCTCTGCATTTCTCCGCAGACAGGATCAAGCAGGAGGCTTTTCATTTGGGCGTGTTGGGGGTGGGGTGGATGAGATATTCATCCTTTTACACTACAAAGAACGCAGTTCTTGTCTGATCTGTGAATTTACTGATTTGTGTGACAAACCCATAAAGCTAATGGAGCCTGTACAGCAGTTTATTACAGTTCCTGGGGTTTCATTGCGGGGGGAGTGTGATCTGGTCCATATTCATGAAGCTCCGTTCGGAGGAGGCTACAGAGAGTAAACGCTGCAGGTCAGTTAAGGATATAAATCATTAATAATATAATCTGCATATGTGCGCGTGTGCAGGTGAGAGGAGACATCGAGCCTCGTGGTAAAACATGGATGAAAACCGTCGTCGTATAAACTGTGGAAAAGAATGTCATCAGATTAAATGTTCCACTGAAAATAGGAGTGAATTGTAAATTCTTTAACTTCCTGGCCTACTTATTATGCAATTAGAATGAACATCCGTGAATGAAAGAGAGAAGGGGGTGGGTGGGGCTGAAGTGAGTGAAAAATGAAATTCAGACGGAGGGGGGAAAAAGGAAAAGCAGGAGCGAGTAGGGCTGAAGGAGAGATGTGGGAGTATGTGAGAAATGAGCGTTTCTCTGATGAATTATTTAAGGCTTGAAATTCCACAACCCTCCAGAGACTTCTCCGCTGCTCTTTGATCGGGAACGGGTTGGGATAGGCGGTGCTGTGAGGACATCATATCCCATACTGCACCCCTGCTGTAAATCCACAGTGCTGTGTGAGGTGGGGGATTGATGGGAGGTGAGTGGAGGAACCCTTTTAACTGTGGACAGGATGCAATATGTGGCATTGCAGGATCTGTGGGTGCGGGGAGGCAAAGCCACTGTAGGAGTGCGTGAGTGCTTTCTGCAGATGCAATATATACATTGTGTCAGGGACGGAGGCTTTAGAGCGCCGTAAATATGGAGCCGACCCAACCGTGAAATTAGCAGCTTCCTGTGATAAAGTGCTGTGTGGAGCCATTGAGGACATTTATCTGTACTTACTGTCCAAAAGGTACGTTCTCAGTTTGTTTTTAAAAGCTGCTCGCGGAAGAGGTAGAAAAAAAAAAGGAGGAGCAGAAGACATAGTAAACAAGAAGCTGGATTCACAAAGACAGACTCTGACAATGGCTACGAGCAAACTACTATAACTACTAATATTAGCAAATCAACATATACGTAGATATAGATCAACAAAGCTGCCACAAAGTTGTCTAGTTCTGAGTTGTAAGGAGTGTTAGGACCAAGAAAATCACACATTTTCAGAATAATGTGATATTAGAGAGAATAATGTTGTCGTTTAATAGGGAAAAAAATATAATATTAAGAGAATAAAGAAATAATTATTTTTAGGAAACAACTAAAAGCAGAACTTGCTCCTTCTGGATCCAAAATCTTTAAACCAATGTCATTGTTTTACTGTTTCCCTTGTTTCCCATGAAGAGCAGCAAATGCCCATTGTAAGTTCTTTATTATCATAGGTAGGACTAATTTGCCATGAATTCTGGGTAAAAAAGGCAACATGCAGAGCAGCTGCATCAAACCACTTCTTTCACTTCAATAAATAATTGTCAAATTTAAAAATTCAGTGAGTGTAACAAAAACAGTCACTACTGTTTATTTACATCATATCACTGCGCTCAGTAAAAACTTTTCTCCTCTCACGGCTCTGTTGACAACACATCATACAATTATAAACCATATTTCCTTTTTTCCATCCGGTGCCACATGTCAGCAGGCGTTGCCGATTATTGCCATGGAAACACTGCTTAGCAGGTGTCACTGACTGTTACCATGGAAACACAGCTTTAGTTCTGAGTTAGGCTGTGTCGGTAAAACTAAGTCAGTCATTAGTTTTGCAAAACTAACTTGCATGAGACTATTCTTTAGACTAGTGACTAGTGAATGTATGTATATATATATATATATACATATATGTGATACTGGAGGGAATGAAGATGAGGAGACTTACCGTCCACGTTGTAGACCTTTAACCCGGCCAGGTGTTTGGCGGCCCGGTGCTTCGAGGCAGACAGAAGCGCTGGGTTATGAAGTGGAAAGTCTCTGTAGTAATACTCCAGAATGGACAGAGCGGCCCTTTGAACACTGCGGAAGACGAGAGAGGGACAAGTGAAAACTCAGAGACTGTTCCAATATGATTTACATGATGGTTAACTCATATATGAAACTAAATAATGACATTCAACTCACTAAAAAAAATGTTTTTATTGATTATTTTGAGACACAGCTACTGTCTTTTAGATTCCACCCGTTCTCCTTCAGTTTTACTGGGAGATGTGGGTGTGTTATGTTATGTTGGAGGTGGCGACAGTGGTCTGGAAAACTCAGGTTGAAGTTCATCACAATGTCCATGACGTCTGTGACTGCAGTTCCCCAAGCTGTGAGTATAATGTGTATTTTGATCTGTTCCTGTGTCCTGCTCCAGTAAACAGGTCTCCACTCCCTGTTTATCCTCCTGCAAATTCAAACTGTGCCCAGAAGAAAACTGTAAATATTGTTTTTAGCCACATCATGCGAACCTTATCTAACTACTCCTTGTCATGTCGTAGTCAGACAGACACTTGTCCGGAGCAGAAATAAAGTAAGACAGCGAGAGGACGAGTGCCTGTGTCTGTCAATTTCTCTTCCCTCCCCCACGACTCACATAATGACCCACCTTGAGCGAACTAGACAAGGAGACTGATGAGTAACTCAATTACCGCCTGTGCCGGTCGTCCCTGTGGCCTCCAATTACACACAAACGTCAACATGGTGGAGAGTGATGAAAGTGACCAAGTATAACTGTCTGGATCTCTACAGAAAGGTCATGGTCATGTGTAAAATTGAGGATTCTTTTTTCCACCTCTCTTTCATTAGAAACAAGCACCGAGGAGGTAATAACAGCAAACGAGCTCACAAACCTGAGCTGTCCTATGTTGTAGTGACGTGACTCTCCGTCCGTGGACCGGATGACGCACACGCTGTAGCAGGGCTGCAGCTGACGGAGCTCCAGCAGCACCACGGCCAGGTAGTGGACAAACAGCTGGGAGTCCACGAGGGACACGGCGAACTGGACGATGCCGTGGTAGTCCTCGTCCTGCTTAGACCACAGCACATAATGAAAAGATCAGTTTTCAAAACAGTCGTGTGTGTGTGTGTGTGT